TGAAAGTAAGTTTTTGTTGCAATTTTTGAAATAAAATTATTTTGCTTTTTATACTCCAAATAAAATTCTGATAAGTTATAAACTAGTTTAAGGCTCTCTCTCTCTCTCTCTCTCTCTCTCTCTCTCTCTCTCATTCATTCATTTATTCATTAATAAATTGTTAGCAAAAATATTAAAGATGATAATCTAATGTCATAATAAAAACCAAAAAATTTCAAATGAAGTTTAAATTAAAACTAATTGGAAATTCCCTGTAATTTGTGTCACTTTTAGCAAATATTGCCACAGGATTACCATATGATTGCCATATCTGATCATATTTTTTTATAAATTACATTTTATTTGACATTAAATTAATTTTTACAGTAAATAACTCAATGAGTTAATTGATTATAAGAATTATTATTAAATTAAATACAAAATACTTATGTTCTTCAGTGAAAGTGTGTTTTGGTCGTGAAAATTGTTTTAATTATTTATAAATTTTTAATTTATTATTTAATAGATTCTGAAAATTACTTATGTGTTTAATATTAAACTAGTTGTATAACAATATATTGCAGTCAGAAATAATACAGCATAGAAATCTATATTTTTAAATACACATTATAATTAACTACATAAAATTTTATCACATTTTGTATTACAATTTACCAATAAGTTAAATTGTTGGCATTTAATTTAATAAATTATTTTCATTTGAATTAAATCATTGAATACGATTGAACTAAATATCTAGTTAATTAATTAACATTTGTATTAATTTAGGCAAAAGACCGTACGATAAGGGCATCGGTCCCACCGAAAGCAAACTAACCATGTATTTGAGTTTAGGCGAAGGTATGTCTGCAATGTTGTAATTATTTAACATTCAATTTGCATAATGTTTACATAAATATAAATTATATAAATAAAATTAATTACAAATTAAACAAATTAATAAATAAACAAATATTTCGCAAAATTCTTAGGTTCGCATAATTATCACCACTCGTTTCCAATGGCAAGTCATTGAATTAAAATCATTAATGTAAATGAAAAATTATAAGTATATTAATCCGTAATTGAATGTAATCACAGGATTACGCGAACTGCGAGAAGAAATGGTGGGAAGTATTCAATCCGTCGACACTATTCATAGACGTGTGCGAGAAGTTAGGTCTGGCCTACGATCTGAAGAAGCCGTCGCGGGCTGTGGTCCAGGGGGTGATCCAACGCAAGGGCGACCCCGAGTACTTTGAACGCAAACTCAAGCGCACGCTTTGCACTCGTATAGGGCTGGGCGTCGCCGACTGGCTTATGGGCCTATTGGTGGCCCTCTGGCCCGTATGGCTGGGCCTGGTTTTTAAGCTAGCAACTTTCAGGACCATTATCGTGATCTCCGATGATATCCATTGGCCCTGAGCTTATTGGTCACCACCTGTCCCTACATTTGTACATTGTATATGGGATGGGAGGGCAGGAGTAGTGGTGAGCGGGTTGTTAGGGGTGGACAACCACTTTGCATACCCACAGGGATTAAGTTATTATGTTTTTCTATCATATCGTTGTCAACATTTAAGAGTATATTATAGATATTCAATCATTTTATTGCTATTATAATTATTAATTGGGTATTAATTAAATACAATGTTATTACTATTTTTGTATATTGTGTACGATTTGTATGTAGTCTTTCGTACACTATAAGCAATTTTAATCATTATAAAATGACTATTGAGTATCTGTTGTATGTTTTTAATCATTAATTAGTATTATATTTGAATTATATATTTTTAAACTCAATTTTATAACTATTATTTGAATACGAATTAATTAAATATATTGTAATTAATAAGTGTTTTGTTGTTAATTATAATTAAATTAAATTGATCATAAAAATACACTGCTCATTTCATACATTTAAGTAACGATTATATAATTATTAAAATGAAATTCAATCACAATTCATATTATAATTAATTTTATTATAATTTATCCAAAAAATGACATTTAAATTATGAATCACAGGAAAACTCTTAAATTAAAATACACTCAAATCACAAATAAGTATAAAATAGATTTTAAAATTATTAATATTTCTAATATAATAGAAAATTGTTTAATTTACTAATTAATGCCTAAATGTTAGGCAATTCACGGCACATATTTCATGAGATATTGGAAACAAATGTCTTTGAGTTCTCGTTGATCGTACTCTTTGGCCAACTTTAACAGTTCCGTACAGTTCTGGTCATTCACTTCGGGTCGCAAACCATACAAATACATAAGAAATGCGTTAAACGTATCGTAAGAATAGGCGTTAATTGAGATCTCATTCTCAATAATCATATTCTGATCACAGATTTGCCAAAATTCTTTGCACCGAATCTTAAGTATTGTTTTATTACAATAAATGGATTTATTTTCCACAATAAACCTCATGTCAGACACCATTGAGTTATTGAACGCATCGCTCAAACACTTGTGATATTGGCTTTAAAAATAGAAAAAATGTATGTTTTTTAATAAAAACATTGAAAATAAATTTTCAAATTAAATATTAACACAATTACCGTATCATTGGTTCAACGAATCCAGTGTTGATATCCTTATCGGGTGTCTTAATGTCTATTAATACCGTGTCTTCAGATTGATTGATAAATTGTTGTGCGAATGCAGTCTTTGGTTCACTAATCAATTGATAGTTAATTCATATTTAAAATTATTTTTATTCAAACATTAAATAATTGTTAAAATACTTACTCAACGATGAGATTAGCGATTAGTTGTGTCGGTGACTGTCCATCAAGTGGTGAACAGCTCTTAGAAATGGATTCATTGCTAAGAAGCGGATCAAAGAGAAATAAATCTGATGCCAGAAGGGGTTTGGCATTCAATTGGTTGTTATCATCGACTGTACGATAACTCAAACAAACGTATTCTTCCTCTTCAGACCAGTATATTTCCGAATCTTTTTCTTCGGAGTCAAAGCTGTCAACATTTGATCCGATGTTTATGTCATTGATATCGGAAGCGATTACTTCGGCGGCCATTGCTTTGATGTATTCACTGATGGAATAAAGTTTAGATTTATTGCAAAATATATCAAAAATAGATTAATTACTTACGTATCGATCGGATCCGTCATCACATCCGGTGATTGTCGGCCAGATTCTGGCGCATCGCTATCGGCGGACACGACTTCTGTTACTAAAGGTTCACAAGACTTCGTTTCATCTGATCTGCCATTTGAGTCACCAATCAATGGCTTCTCATCACAAGTGCTGATAATTGTCTTGTCGTCTAATTCTCTCTTAACGTCGCAAACAATTGCTTCACTCTTCGGCGCAACACATCCCGTGTTCGCTGTTATGTCCAACTGATCCGTTGTCTTCACGTCTACTTCTAACTGATCCCTAGTTTTCAATCGTTTAGTTTTCTTCGGCTGTTTTGTTGGCTTCGACTCCAGTGTTGTCTTCACTTCAGATATCTTCTCAACAATCGATTTAAATGTCTTCCGAAGACCGCAGAAGAGGGCGAAGGCGTCAAAGAGGGAAACGATACCAATCTTTGCCATCAGAGGGTTCAGCGGCAGTAAAATCATGTGCCCGTTGTTGGCCAACACAACCATCCGCTGGCCATCCATTGCCGTCACGATTACCACCCGATTGTCGTACGTCTCGGCGATGTCTTTGTATTTCACTTTCGAGTAATCAATGGATTTGGCGTTAAATAAGTGTTGAAAACAATCGCAGCCGACGGGCGACCACTCCTTCTGGCCGTAGAGGAAGACATAGCCCTTATGTGTCATAAGAATCGTATGATTTGGTCCGCACAGCACTCGTCGATACAGCCATCGATTGCCGCCGCAAATTACTTGCGGACCGCAGCAGTAGGTCTTGCCCTCAGTGTTGGACACGTGTGGACCCAATTGGTGACTATCATTACGACCCCAGACGTACGCTTTGCCCGTCGATGAAAGCGCCGCCGAATGTGTTTTACCGCAAGTGATGGCAGATATGCGGCCTTTGATGGACACCTTTGTCGGCACCAATAGGTTCTGCTGATAGCGATCACCCGTTTGGCCGTAATTATTGGCGCCCCAGCCGTACACCACGCCATCGGCGGTCAGCCCTAGACTGTGATTATCGCCGCAACAGATGTCCACAAATGAGATTTGTTTGGCTTTCAGTCGTCGCACGCATTGAGGGGTCGAAGTGTCGGCCACTGAACCGATGCCGAGCTGTCCGTACGGGTTATGTCCCCATCCATAGCACTGTCCGCCACTCGTGAGTCCCAAACA